ATAGTATTCCAGGCATGTGGGGGAGTGAGGATAGAAGGGGGCAGACAGCAAAAAGTCTTAGAGTTGGAGATGGAGCTCTAAAAATGCTAAGAGATAATACACATCCCCTTCCTCCCCATCCTAGCTTCCCCTAGCCAGGTAGAAGATACAAGAGGAAATCCAGATAGGTAATCAGACAAGGTAGTTAGCTGGTCCTGAACACTGCTGAGCAGGCTTTAAAGAAAGCTTGTGACTTAAAATGCCCTGACCATTCAAAACCCCCTAGACTAGCCTTGGGTTAGGAAAGATGGAGAAACTGGGTTTTATACCACTGATCCAGACAGAGATCAGACCAGACTGGGCTGAAATAGCACCAGACAGAGCTCATTAAAAATCCCTATGCCTCTGTCACCCTAACAATCAATTTTCCATGCTTTAATTTCATTTTATTTTACCTTTCCCCTTAAATTCCCTAGTGGATCCTTTTAACCCCAGCCTTGTTTTAAGTGAATTAAAGGAAGGAGGGTTTCTAGAGATAAGAACTTTCTAGGGTAGCCCAACTTTCCAGGTCAGAACTGGTGGCAGCAGGAGACTGTGAAAAATAATATTTATATAGAGCTTACAATGTGCCAGGCGATGTATTCGGTCCTTTACAATTATTATCTCATTTGATCCTTACAACAACCCAGGGAGATAGGTACCAATATTATCCCCATTTTATAGATAAGGAAATTGAAGCTAATAAATGTCTGGAGTCGGATTTGAACTTGGGTCTTCTTAATTTCAGGGTTCTATGCCACCTAGCTGAGTTACAAAGCCCTGGGAATCAGCTGCAGGAGCTATTCCTCCTCTCCCAAAAGTATGAGTTCCTAATGGATTGGAAAAAAAAACAACAACACTGGACTTAGAGTAAGAATGTCCAGGTTTGAATCTAGCCTCTAGCTTCGTTCTAGTTGAGTGACCCTAAGCAAAGTCATTTCTTCTCCCTAGGCCCACTTCCTCTAAAACGTGGGTGCTGGGACTAGCTGATCTCTAGGGTGCCTTTGGGCTCTAAATTGCCCATACCATTTATTCTTCTTTCCATTCTCTAAGGGGCAAGAGACCAGAGTAAGGACTGCTCTCCACCTATATTGTCATTAGGAAAAACTGAGTTGCCACTGGGTAATTTATTTCAAGTTTTGATAATGTGGAGGAATTATAAAGGATTACATCCACGTCCATTGTTCCTTCTTTAAACAGGGCTGGAAATTCCTACCTTCACCCTTGCTGCAGCATCTGTTTTGCCCCTTCCCCCCAAGAGCTAATAGCAGATGGCTTGAGGCAGGGACATACCAAGGACATTTTGTGTCTTTAGCCATGGTCTGGCTCTCATCCTTCCCCTCAAGCCAGGCTCTGTTTGTCTATGCACAGAAATACAAACACACCTGCCCTGTTGGTGCATCCTGCAGGGAGTATGAAGAAAGATCTTTTTTTTCCTGAGAAGTATTCAGTGGGGAGTATATTTTTCATGGATGTCGCCAACTCAGATTTACTGAATCCCTACTTGTGTGGCTTATAGGGTGCTAGGCACCGTGGGACAATATATAAAATCCTTTCCTCACCCTCCATCAAGGGTTCTTAACCTGAGGTCTGTGAATGTTTTTTTAAATATATTTTGATAACTGTATTTCAATATAATTGGTTTCCTTTGTAAGCCTATGTATTTTTGCATGAATTTAAAAACATGATTCTAAGAAAGGCATCCATAGATTTCATCAGACCCCCAAAGGAGTTCATGACAGAAAAAAAGGTTAAGAACCCTTGCCCTAGCGGAGGGGTCACTTGCTCAAACATTCCCCCTCCCTTCACTTTCTGGTCAGCAGCCATAGTAGCAAAGGGCTTGGAGAAGACTATTTTATCCCACTTAAAGCAAAAGCTCAAGTGATTATCAGAGTTCTCACCCTGGTGAATTTATTGTTATTGTTCAGTAGTTTGGGTTATGTCTGATTCTTCATGATCCCTTTTGGGGGTTTTTTGGCAAAGACACTGGAATGGTTTGCCATTTCCTTCTCCATCTCATTTGACAGATGAGGAAACTGATGCAAACAAGGTGAAGTGACTTGCCCAGGCTCACACAGCTAGTAAGTGTCTGAGGCTGGATTTGAAGTCGGGAACTTGAGTCTTCCTGCCTCCAGGCCCTGCACACTATCCACTGCTCTCACCTTTGGCGTGACCCTGGCCTAAAGTTGCTTCCCTGAAGGAATATCACAGTGAGTATAATTGTTTGCAGTCGCAATCTTCGGGACAACTTTCTTCTGAGCTCTTTCACCATTGCTCTTTCTTTTTGTCACGTCTCATCCCATATATACTTATCTGTGAATTTACTGTCTCCCCCTACTAAAACGTATGCTGTTTGAGAGCAGGGACTATCTTCTGCATTTGCAGCCTTAGCCAAAAGCACTTTTTTTAGACTGGACCTGTGATATCCATACAAGGAATTTTCAATGAGGAAACTCCCTCTACCAATACAAATCGACCCCTGATTTGCAATTTGTCATTTTGGAAGGTGTGGGGCAATAAAAGGTTAAGCCATTTGTCCAGGGTCACATAGCAGGATATGTCAGTGGCCAGACTTGACTCCTGACTCTAAGGTGAGTTCTCTATTCAATACTCCATGCTGCTTATTGACTGCTTAATTGCTGTCTCATCATCTGGAGCACTCCTTCTCTTAGGAACTTCAGGAGTAATGCATATTTCTAAACAGCTTTAATATCGACAGTTTTCCTTCCAACCACCCAGTAAAGTAAGTTGTTACAAGTATAATTGTTCTCATACTGTAGGTGAAGAAACTAAGGCTTAGAGAGGGTAGGAGATCTGCCCCGGGCCATATACTGAAGATGTGTAGGAGCAGGCACTCAAACCAGCTCTGCATTGGCCAAGTTTCAACATTTTCCACTACTGTTCTGCCTTGATTATAAAATAAAATAGAATTCAGGGGTGAAAAGGACCTTAAGGATCATCTAATCTGACTTCCTCCTTTTACATCTTAGGAAATGAGAAAGGCAAGTAACTTATACAAGGCCACACAGTGAGTAGCAAAGCCAGTATCTGAACCTCCATCTCCTGATTCCCAATCCAGCATTCTTTCCACTCTATACCATGTTTCTTGCCAACAGGTTCCCTGGTCCCTTGGTTCTACTTTTGACAGAGGAAATAATGCCTTTGGAAAAATCACTTCCACTCCGTCCTCTCAAACCTCACCTCCCTAGATACCCCCCCAAAAAAAATCAGTCATCAATCTTGCTGCTGGATGGAGTCCTCTTGGAAGGCGTGTGAGGACCAACAGGCTCTTTCCAGTTGGTCTGTAAGTTTTCACATCTCGGTTCATGGATTGGATGTTTGACTTCCACCCTTCAGATTGCCAGCAATGGTTTCCAAGAGCAGCCTGCTCCCCACCAAGGATGTAAATCTCTCTCTCTTTGCAGCTGGACCGTGGATTTCTGGAGAAATGCCAAGAGCTGCTGCCTCTTGAGTTGTCAGATACAGCAGTGACAATCCACAGACAGAGCCCACAGCCTTAGCACAAACCTAAACACTCAAACCTGAGTCTGACAGCTGGCACAGAGGAGGGCCAGCGGATCTGTGGCACGAGGAGCTCATGGACAATATTCAGGACGTTTCTACTAACCAGAGCTCCAAATCACCCTTCTCCCACTCCCAAGGCTGCTGGTTTTCAGGGGTAATATGAAATCCTTACCCTCCCCTAGGCTAAAGCAAAGACTTCCTCTTATCTTCTATAAGGGCCAACCCTTCAAAGGCCTTCAGAGTCTTGGCCAGGAAACCTTCCAGGGTCTCAGATTCCAGAGATGGAGTGATGCTTTGAACAAAAAGGAAACAAGTCATTCTTGGGAAATGTACATCCCAACTAATAAAACTTGGTTTCCTAGGAAATGGGTAGGGAAACACAATCCAGACCCCCTTCATACTCAAGTACCAATATACAAAAGTCTAACTCATCCTGAAAGACAGACACCATGACTTATTCTTTTTTCCATTCACCCACAATGCCTTGCATATATATATATGTGTATTATTTATATACATATATAATAGGTACTCAATAAATGTGTTGATCAATTAATCTATAAATCAATGTGGACAAAACCTGTTGTACAAGTCATTAAGCAAGTGGTTTTTCTCCATCTACAAAAAAGTGTTAGAGGCAGACTAGAGTACGTCTGGGACCTTGAAATCAGAAAGTCGTGGGTATGAGTCCTGCCTCTGACACTTAGAACTAGCGGTGTGATAATGGATGTCACTTAACCTCTCAAGGTCCCCTAAGTAACTCTTAAAAAACTCCAACAAGTTGTCCATCTGGAATAGTATAGGGGGTTTCCCCATTAATAACCCCCATGCCAATGAAATCACAGGTCCAGACCAAAAAAAGCTTGAAATAAGCATAGACATGTTTTAAACCACAGTTTCACTTCTAACTAGATAATAAAGATTTCTATAGGCAAGGGAGGGGGGAGATGATATCAGAACCTATTTACAGCATGATACATCTCTCATTGGCTTATAACAATGCACAATGACTCAGCTATACCCACAAACACAAACACATACACATATGCACAAACAGGTGCAAAACCACTTCCTGACAGTATTCTGGATGCCCTGTGTGCCTGGCTCACACTTCAGGCTCACAGCAAGGTAAGCAACACGCACTCTGAATTGGAGCCCAGTTGACTACTTCTACACTAAGGTACAAACCCTGGGGCTATTTAACCGTATTCCAGATGGGGATGCCCTAATTTGTGAACCTCCCCAGGCTCCTTTGCCAAAATAGTTGTGGCTTAACTTGAAGATAAAAGTTTGGAGGAATTTGATGAAAAGGGGAGGAGAGAGGATTATGGAGATTATCTCTAATTTACAGGATGTATTTGGAGCTAGACCAAGGATAAAGGAGAAAGTAGGCAAAAGAGGAAAATGATTCAGGGAGAAAGGAAAAGGAATGAGAAGGGGCAACAGATTGCTTTATACGCTGACATTTATTGATTTGATTTTAAAACAAAAGAATAGTTTTACCTCTATAAACACCAGGAGTTTATAGAAACTTTCAAGGGGATACCCTCTCCCCCCACCCACACAAAATAATAGAGTCCCTCTGACGGTATTGTGAGGTAGATATGAGCTTTTCTCTCCCAAAAAAATGAGGATAAATGAGGCTTAGTGGTGAAATGAGGAAGCTAGGAACAAAATTCAGACTTCTGGATTTCTCCTATCCCCTACTCTTACCACTGGCCAGCAGCATCTAGGGATATTCCTAAAGGCTTGAAAACTGCAAAAGGTTCTCTTAGTTGCCCCATCATCCCCCGATCTAGGAAACTGAAGGAGTGGAACAGGGATGCTCTCTTTGCCCTGAGACCTCTTCATGCAGCACCAACGTGAGAAAGATGGGATGCCCCCTAGACATTGCTTATCCCTCCTGCTCCTGGGACTAACGAGGGCAGGCTGAAAGGATACACCCACTTGCTGAGGTAGTGACAGGTTATTCCATTTAGCCCAGTGCTTTGGAAGCTGACTCCATTTTCTCCATAACAGCATCTGGAAGAAGCTAGGAAGATCTCGGTCTACTTGCTCTCAACCAACAGGCTCCTTAGCTCCTTATCACAGTAACAGACCACTGGTCCTGGAGGGCACAGGGTGGAAGGCAAGAGCATAGCTCTGACAGTCTCACCACTCCACAGAGGGTTTGGCTGGGAGACCCCCATCTCTGGACACAGTCTGAGTAAGTTCCCAGGTTGTTCCAACAGGTCTGGGTCAATGAGACTGTCGCTTCTGTCAGCTGCAACCCAAGGCAAGGAACTCCTGGAAGTCCTGAAAGGCATAGACATCTTGCGTCTGGGAAAAGGAGGAAAACAGGGCACTGGAGAGGGGGAGTGGGAGGGGCTGGTGAACACTGGACAGGACTTAGGATAAAGATCACTGGAGAATGAGAAATGCCCTGAAAGATGGGGTAACTACTCCCCTCCCACCCCCATCTTCACCCCCGGGGAAGAATTTTCACTCTCACAAGCTCTCCAACCTGATTGGTTCTCTACAGCCCGGGAGCAGGTTCTCTCTGCTAAACCTTCCGAAGCGCAGAGATGGAAGCTGAAGCCAGTTGGGCTTCAGTCCTTGGAGAACTGAGGTTTGGCCCAGTCAGCGCTTGTATTGAAGGCAGTGATCTGGAAGCGCTGACCCAAATTGTAGCTATCACCACCGCCATCGCAGCCTTCCCCACCGCCACCTACCCCAGCCCACCCCACCCCACTCCACTTCCCACACTCCTTTCGCAGAGCTCGGAGCAGGATACGGCACCGCCCTCCCTGTTCTCACTCTAGCTTTCGGACAACAGAAGAATGCAGTGCTCCTCCAAAGGCCAAGCTCTCCCTCTTGCCTTATGTCCTAGATTTACAATAGAGATAAGAATCCCGAGTTCTCTATTTCTGGCATCCCCCTTTTCTAAGCGCAGCAGATTCGCCCTCCCTTTTTCCCTATCCCGACCATCTCCACTCCTAATCCTCTTTTTAAAAGTTTATAGAGCAAGGCACAGGTATTCTTTCATTATCTCAGTACCAGGGCCATTCAATACTTCTTGGTACCTACCCCTCAAGCTGTGGGCATTGTGCAATCTGTGTTACCTCCCGCTGTCCCTCCCACAGAGAGCGTCCCCTGCTGCCTTGCCCCACGGCTTCGTTCCCATCTTCTATCCCCTGACTCTGGGCAGCTTTGACAGAGCCCGCGACTCCAGCGGTTGGATCTGGGGAGTCTTCGGGAGTTCGGGGTAGGCAACGACGGGGACATGGTGAGCGCGGCCGAGCGTACAGGCGGCGGTCGCAGCGGCACAGCAGTCGGCGAAAGGCGCTGCGAAAGTCAGGGCTGCGGCAGTATATCAGTGGGTTGAAGGTAGAGTTGGCATAGCCAAGCCAGTTGAGGGCAAGGAATGCCGAACTGGGAACCAGCGCAGGCCCCCCGAGGGCGCGCACCACATTGGCCACAAAGAAGGGCAGCCAACAGAGGGTGAAGGTGCCCATGATGAGACCCAGGGTACGCAGGGCTCGGTGCTCCTTAAGGGGCAGCAGGCGTGCTGGTCGGCGGCCGCCGGACTGGACTCCCGCAGGAGGGGCGCAGGGTCTTTCTTGGGAAGTAGGCAATGGGGAAGGAGGGGGCTCTTCTGGAGGGAAGCGACCAAGCTCCCGACGCAGCTGGCGCAACTGGCGAGTAGCCACAGCAAAGACCCGTGCGTAGACAAAGAGCATGACGAGCAGGGGAAGGTAGAAGGAGACAGTGGAGGAGAGCAGAGCGTATGGCAAATTGGAGGCGAAGGTGCAGCAGAACGGATTGGAGTGACAACTCTGTGCCTCGGCGTCAGCTCCTACGCGCCACCACTGGCTCATGATGGGTGCAAAAGACACTGCAGTGGACACGACCCACACCAAGACAACAGCTGTTCTGGCACGGGGCTTAGTGACCAAGGCGCCATAGCGTAGTGGATTGGTCACTGCCAGGTAGCGGTCCACGGCTAGGGCGCAAAGAGTCTCAATGCTGGCGGTCACACACAGCACGTCAATAGAAGTCCAGAGCTCGCAAACCATGGCGCCGAATGGCCACTGTCCCGTCAACGCCAAGGTGGCCCCCGGGGGCACCACTAGGAGCCCCACCACCAGGTCAGCAGCCGCCAGTGAAGTCACGAACACGTTTGTCATGGTCTGGAGCCGTGGGGTCCTGGCGATGGCCACGATGACTAGCAGATTGCCTCCCACAGTCGCTAATACAGCCAAAGCCAAAAGCGCCCCCGCCACTGCTGCGGCCCACGGTGCCGCGGACAGCCCACTAGTGTTGGTGACGGCGGACGCCACCGTTGGGTGGTCTAGCCACTCGGGCAAAGAACTGTTCTCATGGGGCCACGGAGCCATCCCCGACTGAGGCACAGGGGAGGGAAAGAGGGAGAGGGGATTGCCGGGTTCACCCAGCTCAGGGGAGGAGGTGGCAGGGCGTGGGAGCGGCTCCCCGGGCCTGAGCCATCTTCCCCGCCTGACTGGGTCCAGGAACGCTCTCGGCCTTCCCCCCCCCAACCCCACCCCCCCGGGTGCCACCACTTCTGGGAGGAGTGGCAGCCCTTAAAGGGGCAGCAGCCAGTACTCCCAGGAGGGGAATAGAGGGGTGGAGATAGGGAGGGAGAAAAGGGGAGATGAGAGAGAGGGGACGAGACAAAGAGGAGGAGGAAGGATGGATGCTTGCTTTTTTTGCGTTTGCCAAATCTGGAGTAATTGACCCTATATTTGTCTATCCTGTTCCCTTTCCAACCCCAACTTTGTGCTGCTTCCATATACCAGCAAAGGCTTGAGCTCCAGGGGGAAATTTGGAATCCCTCTCATCAGGAAAGAGGTAAAGAAAGAACCAGAATCTTAGTGAGGAGACTTTCCTTCCTAAGAAAGAAGTCAAGGGATAAATCAGGCCCAAGAATCTCCAGTAACCTCTGGTTTATTTGGATGACCCTCTCTGGGGTTCTTTAATTTAGATAGAGGAGAGGGTTGTCACCCTTTCTCCTCTATCAGGCCTCTATTCTGAACAGCATTTCAAAGGTGAAGCAACATGAGGCTTTGCTTATTGGTTTTTCTTTCTCATCCTTTTTACTTAAAAAAAAAGAAAAAGAAAAAGAAAAACGTTTTTCTATTCTCTCTTTTCCTCCTGCACTCCTAGGGAGAAGTTTCTGGTTGTATTTGGAAATGGTTACATTTATATTAGGATTTAGCACTGTTTGCAAGAGTATACCAGCCACAATTCTCTTCCCACTCCAGGGTACCCTCCATTCAGCCACCAAAGTAACCTTTCTAAAGCTCAGGTCTGACCATGTCATCCTCACACTAAATAAATAACAGTGGCTCTTATCATTTCAGGATCAAATCTAAAATCCTTTGTTTATCAAAGCCCTTTATAATCTGCCCTCCTCCTATCTTTCACGTGTTCTTACACCGTAAACCTCCTCCACCCCTCAGATACTTTGAGATCCAGTGACCCTGGGCTCCTTGCTGTTCCTGGAACAAGACAGTCCATCTCCAGACTCAGGGCATTTTTACTTCATGCCTGGAATCCACTCCCTTCTTCTATAGGCAGACTTTCTGGATACTTCCCATAATTCTAGTGCTTTCATTTTGTTAGTTATCTCCAAGTTAATTTGTATATAGCTTATTTGTATATAGTTGTTTGAGTATTATCTCCCTCATTAGACAATGAGCTCCTTGAAAGCAAGAAATATCTTTTGCTTTTCTTTGCATACCCCATGTTCAGCACAGTGCCAGTAGTAGGCACTTAATAAATGTTGGACTGATTGACTAAATGTCATTGACCTTGTGTACAAAAGGCAGCTGTGGTTTAGTGGCTAGAGAGCTTGTCTCAGCCTTAGAAGATCTGGGTTCAGTTTCTGCCCCAGACTCCTGCAGGGAGACCTTGGATGAATCACTTAACCTCTCAGTGTACCCATGCAATTCGATGGATTTGAGTAGCAGCTATGAATCTGTATTGGTAGAGGGAATCCCCTACTCTGGGAATTCTATCAGTAAAATCACAATTCCAATTTACACATAAGTCATAATCTCTCCTTCCTCCACATTTGTATACTTCTCTTAAGACTGCTGGGCAAGAATACATTTTTGAAACATATTAACTAGAAGAAACTCCCAATTTAAGGATGAGACTTTTTTTATACCTACTGTTTCCCAACTTCCAAAAATAAATCCTTTATAACCTACCCCAAATGTTTTAAAGTGACTCCCTCCATTTGCCTGAAATAATTTGTTAACAAAATGTTTTCATAATAGTAAATTGTAAACTGCAAATTGTAATAGTTTGTATATATTATATATAAATTATAATAATTACATTATATATACAATAATTACAATAAATTATAAATAGTAAATTGTAAACATCATATATTTAAAACAATATGGTATGATACTCTAATACCACATCTTCATGGGTACTATTAATTCCACCTCCTACCTGAGGCAGCTCAAAAATCCTATTATAGTCTTGCCTAATTTTACAGAGGAAGAAACTGATGTTCTGAGAGACCAAACTTGCCTCATATCATACAACTAACAAGTATCTGAACTGGGACACAACCCTAACTACCAAAGCCAATCCCTCTTCTGCTCCACCCTCTGGTTCCCCCACCTGTCAGGCCCTGAACCTCAATTCTGGGCTCCATTTTTGGCAGGTGACGCTCACAGAATCACTAAGCCAGTTCCTTTCTAGCTAGGTGGGGAGAAAAGGTGCTAGAAAATATAGGCCCTGAACCGAAGTTGGGGGGCCAGGAAGATCTGATTCTTTTATCAAGGCCTTTTGGGGCTGGACTCTGGCTTCCTCCTCAGAAACAACTGGACAAAAAGGGGGGGAAATGATCATGGAAAACGCCTGCAGGGCCATGGCCCCTCTTTTGAATGCTCCAATGTCACTGGGCTGAGCAATCCCTCAGGGAGACTGAACCAGAAGCAGGTGGATGGGGCAGGAGGAAGGCCCTATAATTATCCATGTAGAAAAGGAAATGACTTCATTTCCCAAGGACCAAATGGCTCACCCATGACCAAATGTTGCCAATGACTCCTCAGAAGATGCCCTTCATGCCTTTGAAATCCTCAGCTTAAGCTTTTGGATGCCAGGAAATGCCCACAGTCCATAAGTGGAGCCATACTAACCACCCTAACCCTGGAGTTCTTGACTTTTCGTGTGTCATGGAGCCCTTCTGGCAGCCTGGTGAAGCCTATGGACCCTGTCTCAGAATGTTTTTAAATGCATAAAATAAACTACATGGAATGACAAAGGAAACCAATTATATTGAACAAGGTCACAGACCCCTGGTTAACAACCCCTGCTAACCTATTCCCCCAAACCAGCCATGAATGGTGTTGGCTCCGGTTGGCTTCCACTCTTTTTTGAGACTGCTGGCTGTTTCTTAGGGTAGAAACCCTAAGGAACCTTCCCAATCCTGGTTTTGCAACACACCAGGGTATTGCCAGTTATCAGGAGACTCTTTTAAAAAAAGTTAATCTCTAAAATAAATATATGCCATACAAAACTTTTTCATTTCTGTACTACAGAATTTGGGGGGTTGCCCCCAAATCAAGTAACTCCAAAAAGTTTGGGAACAAGTTTTACTTTAGAGGTTTGTTGGGTTTAAGAAGTTCATCCTTGTAAAATGGATGTCACTGCCCCTCTCTTGGTCTTAATTTCCTCATCTGTAAAACAGAATAGATTTGGAACTTAGAGGTCATCTAATCTAACAAAACTGAGGCTTAGAGAGTTTGATCAATTTGCCTCATAGGTGATATGTTGCAGAGCTAGAACTCAAATCCAGGTTCTAGAATCCCCAAAAGAACATTCCACTATAGTATGATGCTTTCCAGTGAAGAGGGAGGGGAGTGGATCAGATTATCTCTAAGGTCCCTTCCAGATCAAAATTCGACAATACTCTGATAATTTCCCAAGCCCTGTGAATTAAATGATTCTTATCTGGATTTGGTAGGTTCTTAGGTCAGTTTGACATAATTTGTTTTTGTTCAGTCGGTTCCAACTCTTCATGACCCCATTTGGGGTTTTCTTGGCCCAGATACTAGAGTAGTTTGCCATTTCCTTCTCCAACTAATTTTACAAATGAGGAAACTGAGGCAAACAGCTAACTCATAATTACATATCATACTTTATGGCTTATCAAGCATAATTTCTTCACCCCCAGACATGAGGTACCTAGTATCAGAATTAACATCCTTGCTTCACAGATGACAAAACTACAGCACAGAGAGGTAAGTGACTTGGCAAAGGTGGAATAGCTCGAAGATGTCTGAGTCAGGACCCACACTCAAGTCTTCTCACTCCAAGTGCAGTTCTCTTTCCACAATCCTACTGGTTTCTAGTTACATGCATTGTTGAAAGCCAAGGGCCTGAATTATCTGCCCAAAATTATCCTTTGCTATTGTTGTTATTCAGTCATGTCTGACTCTCTGTTTAGGGTTTTCTTGGTAAAGATACTGGAGTGGTTTGTCATTTCCTTCTCCAGCTCATTTTATAGATGAAGAAACTGAGGCAAACGGAGTTTCCCATCCCACCTTTCATTTCCTAAAGACTTTCATACAGTGTCCTCTTGCTTCTAGGTGCTGATTTAGCAGACAGCTGGGTCACCTAGCCTCAATGGTCTTGTGGGGATGTCTCATTTATCTGTACTTTTCTGATTGGGGATCAGGGAGTAATTGCCCTTTCGTTCTTGCCTAATGACTTGGCATCATGGGAATTTGCCCCGCCTGCTTGAGGGAGGTCATCCAACTCTGAATAGAAGCAGACATTGCCCATGGAGAGAGCCCTGGCCTACATTGCCCAGATGACCTTCAGCCTGTGTCCTTGGAAATAAGCAAATGTAGATTTCTGCAGTTATTAGGGATAAATCTGATATGATATTTATGTGTGTGGAGGACCCCACCACCACCACCACCAAGAGTATAGGCAGACATCAGCACATACCATCACACTGGATCAACAGGCACAGGGACCTGATTTCTGTGTCTTAGGATATGGGTCAACAGGGAGGCTCAAAACAATCCCACTCTGTGATGGAAGAAGTTGAAATAGCCCAGGAATACTCTCATCCCAGGGCTCACATTCGAGTTGCAGAATGCCCATCATATGACCACAGCTGTATATGAATATATGAGCATACCCAGTGCTGGGTGGGACAAAGAATTGGATACACGCTAGGTAGGGGTTGAAGATTGTGTGTCCTACTCATCCCCACCCCTACTTTAACAAGACCGATAGATATGGATAGATGATTATCTCTTACTTTGAGAGAAAGCATGGCGTGGTGCATAAAGAACTGGCCTCAGCGTCCAAAAGACCTGCATTTGAGTCCCATCTCTGATAAATAATGGCTTTGTAACCCTGCACAAGTCATTTAACTTCTTTCTCTCTATGACTCTAAAGCTACAAATCACATGCCAATATGCATTGGTAGAGTACCATTTCTCCTTGAGAGTGTCTTATAACAAGGAAACCACAGGTTTGGTCTGGAAAAAATATTTTTATATCACCTTCCTTTCCAAATATTTCCTTCTCCCATCTACTACCCAAAGAGCCATTGCTTTAATCAATCAATCAAAAGGCATTTCCTAAATGTCTTTTATGTACCAGACCTAATATTATTGTCATTTTTTTTCAGTCATATCCAACTCTTCATGACCCCATTTGGGGTTTTCTGGGCAGAGATACTAGAGTGGTTTGCCATTTCTTTCTCCAGCTCATTTTACAAATGAAGAAACTGAGGCAGACAGGGTTAAGTGACTTGTCCAGGGTCACACATCTAATATATGTTTGAGGTTGGATTTGTCCTCAAGAAGATGAGTTTTCCTGACTCCACACCTGTCACTCTATCCACTTTACCATCTGGCTGCCCTAGATGTGCCAGACCACATAGAACAGAATAAAAAAGAGGGGGGGAAAAGCAATTCTGCACTACTAAACAACACATTAACTGAATTTGACAGTATGTGTAATATTCCAAAATGATAATCCCTTACCTTGGCAATGAAGGAAGGGAAGGAAATTTTCTTATCTCTCCTTCAGGGACAAGTTGGGTCAATATAATTACACAAAGTTCAGTTTCAGGTTTTGTTCTGTTTTTGTCTTTCTGTGTACATTATTGTGATCATTGCAAATACTGTTTTGCATCATTCTGCTAGCTACACTTTGTATCAGTTCATGAGTCTTTCTCTGCTTCCATGTATTCTTCACATCTGTTGTTTCTTATGGAACAATAATATTCCATTACATTCATTTACCATAATTTTTTTAGCTATTCCCCAATTGATGAGCATCTTTCATTCCCATTGTAAAAAGTCTTGCTATAAATATTTTGGTGTATTTGACACTTTTCAAAAAATCTTTGACTTCCTTGGGTTATATTCCTAGTGGGCCCATCACCAATTTTTTCATCTAATCCAATCCAATCCACTAAGCATATATTTTTGTTCCTTCATTTCAGTCATATCTGACTTTTTGTGACTCCATTTAGGGCTTTCTTGGCAGAGATACTGGAGTGGCTTATTATTTTTTTCTTCAGTTTATTTGACAGATGAAGAAACTGAGGCAAACAGGGTTAAGTGACTTAGCCAGGGGTCACACAGCTAGGAAGTATCTGAGGCCAGATTTGAACTCAGGAAGATGAGTCTTCAAGACTCCAGGCTCAACACTCTATTCACTGA